CTAATATGGGGTCATGTTGCTCTTTATAAAGATGCTTAAGGTGCATTATTAGGTTGTTTGTTTGGGGTTTTTTATTTTATTTCTTCATATGGGTCTGTACCGCTAGTATCCTACCTCTTAAAGCCACTTTTGCTACATCCCATAGATTCTGATAACTTGTGTCCTCGTTTTCATTTGTTTGAGGTACTTCAGATTTGCTTTATTTTCCTCTTATATTCAATAGCTGTTAAAGCAGCATGTGGTTTAAACGTTATATAGAGATCCTTCTTCCTGTTTTTTCCTGTTGATTTCTAACCTTATGGCATTTTGATCAGTCAGAGTACTTTATATACTTTCAATTTTTTAGTTTCATTGACAATTGACTTGTGTCCCAACATACAGTTTATTCTTTAAAATCTTCAAAGTGGACTTGAGAAAAACATACATGCAGATGTTTTCAGGTGGGATGTTCTTTAGATATCTGTTAAACCTCTTTGGTCTGGCTCCTCATTTAAGATTTATTTTTATTTATTTATGCATACAAGAACTGGGGTTTTAGGCCAGAGGTACAGGGGTTGAGAGGATTCACCAAAGACAGAGTGGGGAGCACCACAGGCAGATCTACTGAAATACACTGCTAAGGGGAACAGTGGGCAAGACAGGAGAGGTCCGCTGCACCATATGTGGGTTAGCTCCCTGGCTGGGGAATGAATTGATAGAGGTGATAGCGCTGAGACTTAACCCCTAGGCCACCAGGGAGGCCCCTGGCTCCTCATTTAAGGCTATTGTTTGACTTGTTGATCTGTCCTTAGCTGTAAGTGGAATATTAAATTCCCCTAGTATTCTCTTACTGGTATCAATATTTCTCTTTAGCTGTATTAGTAATTGTTATATGTATATTGGTGTTCCATCACCATTCAGTTATTTCTTCTTGTTCTGTCAGGTTCTTAATCATAATGTGATGTCCATCTCTATCCCTTATTAGCTTTTCTTTTTTGTTGTTTTTTGGGGGTTTTTATTATATTTTTTTATTTTTACATCATTGTTCATTTGCAAACAATATTTGCTTCCCTACCCCCTGAGGTGTAGTCCCCATAGTTTCCTTTACCAATGCACCTATGCACCATCACCTCAGTTCCCTGTGCTCCTCCCTTCCTCCCTCTGTTGCCTCTTCCTCCTCCTCCCCTGAGGTATGTCTCTGGCTTATTTCACTGAGCATAATTCCTTCTAGTTCCATCCACATTGCTGTGAATGGCATGAGTTTATCTTTTTTTGATTGCTGAGTAATATTCCATTCTGTAAATGTGCCACATTTCTTGATCCAGTCATCTATTTTTGGGCATTTGGGTTGTTTCCAGGTTTTACCTATTGCAAATAGTGCTGCAATAAACATAGGGGTACAGGTGTTCTTTTGGATCAATGATTTTGTGTCCTTTGGGTAGATTCCTAGTAGTGGAATTGCCAGGTCGTATGGTAGCTGGCAGGTTGAGGAATCACCACACAGCTTTCCATAGTGGTTGGACCAGTTTGCACTCCCACCAGCAATGTAGGAGAGTTCCTTTTTCACCACATCCTCGCCAACATTTGTTGTTGCTTGTTTTTTTGATATGTGCCATTCTCACTGGTGTAAGGTGGTATCTCAATGTGGTTTTAATATACATTTCTCTGATTATAAGGGACTATCCCTTGTTAGCTTTTCTAATAGGAGGTCTATTTTATCTGATATAAGTATGCTGTTTCTGATTTTTTTTAATTTCATTTGCTTGCAGGATTAAGTCTTTCAGCCTTTAACTCTAAATCAAACAAACAAAGCTCATCTTTGTAAGATGGATTTCTTATAAACATCAGGTTTTAAGAAACACTGTACACCTGTACACAGTATGTGTGTGTGTGTGTGTGTGTGTGTGTGAATCAACATACTGTTTTGGAAGAGATTCTTCATGGTGCACCAGTTTGAAATCTTTGCTGTAGATGATAAAACTAGAGCAAGTGGCACAAGGTCTTATGAGTGAGGTTTTTAGTTTATAAATATATATATGTATACATATTAGAACTATATATTATATATTAGTAACCAGAACTTTTTAATCATAATGTAGATGTTTTGTGAGGTACTAAGTGCATTGTTTGTACAAATAGATAAGGAGTATGGCAAGTATGACAAGCCACTCCCCAAGCAAATTGAATACTTAATATTGTTTCAATTTCAATATCACTAAAATAGTATCCTCCACTTTCTTTACTTCTAACCCTCTCTTTCTTGATATCCTTATGCCAAGGGAAGCAGCAAGATTTGACCTCTTCCTAAATTCCAGTGGCATATCATCTGCCCACTATCACCAGAGATCTCTGGATGACATGAGCAATAAGCTAAAAAGGAAACTTGAGTTCATGGTGTAGGAGGACAAAGTAAGAAATTTCCAGTTAAAATGAAAGACAATGATATGCCCAGAATAAGAAAGCAAGTCTTTTGCTGAGCCACAAGCCTCTTAAAATTCCACCCTGAGCAATGCCAAAGCCAAACCAAAGCTCAGAAATGACCTCTACAGAGGACTGGCAAGTTCTTAGATAGGGCTATCTCTCCCCATTTTTGCCTGTAGGATTTTGGGTAAGAGAAAGGGCTCAATTATCTGATTATAGCTATGACCCTCAAACCTTATATAAAGTAAATGTTTATATATCAAACTATATGTATCTATCAAACTCAATTATAACTTCAGATATGACCTTATAGAGTACAAGATAACTCAGAATAAAAAACAGAATGTTAACACTGGCAATGTCTAACCCAAATATATTTAATTTTTTTAAGAGATGCAGAAAAAAGGAGATAAAAGTCAGTGCAACTTTAAAATAAGTGTAAATGTGGTTATACATAAAATTCATCTACAAAATGCACTGCAAAATTCATTTCCCTTTCTGCTGAAAAATATCCACAAGGTCATAAGACTAAAATGTATTGTTAGTCTGGAAGGTTACATTATTGTTCCCAATGTTTATAAACACTAGTTGGGAAAAAAACTTTTTAGAAAATTAAGATCACACAAATATTTCCTGAGAAGCTCCTTCTAGTAAGATGTTTCTTTCTCAGTATGATTTCTCAGCTATCAATAAGCATTAGTTTGTGAACAACAAATTAATAATAAACAATTCCTGCATTTTAACTGAGAATTTCTAGAGCCAGATTGCCTGGATTAAAATCCCAGCTCCACCACTTACTAGCTATTCAATTTCTTAACTTCTCTATGGATAGCTTCCTCATATGTAAAATAATAAACTTACATGCATGATAGACTGTGAAGAGATTGAATGGTTATATGTGTGATGTGTGTTTGTGTGTGTGTATACCAATGCATGACACTTTGTGATGTGTAATTGCAAGCTGTTATTATTATCTCTTGCCTTATAACCCCCATTCATCTATAGATATTTGCTAGCCTCCACGCTCCCTCCCAGGCACTGCACCAGGTATTTGTAGCATTTACTAAACCAGCAGCAGGAGTCTGTCTGGTAAACAGTGCACTATCAAGTACAAAATGACAACCAAACAGTAGAGTGGAAATAGGTGCAAGCCCCCTTCTACTACCTAATCAAATCCATGAATTAGAAACTGCACTGAGTGAGCTTTAAGAGGTGGTTATTCACCATCTACTTGTACAATCTGCAGTTAGACATTTATCCACTCAGGTGGCTTTTGCCACATCTACATTAAATTTGCATCTGGCTTAGATTTCTGTATTAGATGATGCTTCTAATTTGTGTTTTGGGACAAGGCCCAGCTCTGACTGTGTGGGGACAGTGTTACGAATGAGGGGGCTGTGTTATCAGAAAGCTGGGTGGGACAGAGTTTTGATGTGAGTGTGGTGTGCCAGTTCTCATATGTCTACAACCCAGGCCAAAATCTGCCCTCAGTTATGCATGCACAGATTTCATTGACGTCAGTAAAAATTGTGCTCATGTAACAGGAGGCAGAAATTTGGCTCTTTGATTTTAATAGAATTAAAATGCCGAAAGTTTTGCTGATGCAGGTTGCAAATTTAAACCCCCGAGGGTCAGGAAAATGCAACAGAATACTGTTCTGCTGGCAGGCTCATCTTTTGCAACAGGCTCTGTAGTTAAGGGAGTACTAAATTTCTCAAGTCTTGGAACTTGGAAACCCTTAAAGTTATTATACCTATGAGTTGTGTGTGACCTCCCACTGCAGTAAGATCTTTCAGTATGATTTTAACATTTGGTCTGTGGCTTTAGATAAAACATTAACACCTAGTCATAATCCACTGTCAGTTATAGGATTCCATTTCCGATCTGGGCTTTAATACAACGTTGAAATCAGTTGGTGGTGCCGAACAGACTCCACTCCCCACATTAGAAGATTGGTGACTTATGTAACGAAATTTTGGAGCTAAGCATTCTTAGAGTATTCAGTCTAAGTTTCAGTCTAATTTATGTGCAGACATATCCATAGCTTTGTCTTAATATTTTGTGTGGTTTTTAATTTTAATTTAATTTTATGCAATGATGTTAACAATTGGATCTCCCAGATCTGAGCATCTGGTAGTAAGTTTCTGAGTGGTAAAATACAATTCAATAGAAATATTAAGGCAGACCAATGACCAAAAAAAAATTCCTTAAGTACAAGTGGAGGTTTCTATTTCCTTTAACCAGATCCTCAGAGTTCTATTTCCTGCTCTGGGTCCAGAGAAGCATGTTTTCTCTTGAACTGTTATTAAAACTGAGATGGATATATGCCCAAGTGCTATGTGTTTTCTTGTGGATGACGTGACCTAGCAGGGCCTTCTTGGGGTGAATGGATTATATAAATGGCAAATTTGGGAGCAAGAAAGGAACATATCTAATCCAGCCCTTCCCTCCTCCCTCTCTGTCTTCCTTCCTGCAGAAAGCATGTGTTTTGTGCTGATCTCATGCTACAAATTTTGCCCCTAAGAAAGGAGAGAGTATTGTGTGTGACCAAGGACTAAGGCTTTTACATTTGGGAGACAGGAACACATACCCTTCCATACCTAAACCACATTGATCCAGAAGCTTCAGGAGCAACAGAGGTGCCACATTGGTTTCGGTAGGCCTGACATATGAAGGAAGGGAGGCTGGTGGACAAGTGACAAGAATTTATTAGCTAATATCTAAAATTGATAGATTAAAAACTAATAAAATAAGAACATTACTTAGAAATACAAAAGCATTTATCAAGAGGGAAAAACTCCAAAAACTACTCACTTGAAAATGAGGTGGGGATGGGGAAGGGTATGGTAGGGAAGGGCAAGAGGCCTTATTCCTCTTTCAAGATTTAACCTGGCTCTGATATTTGGTGACCAACTCATAGTTTCACACCTCACTGTATCATGGAACCATAGTGTACAAGAGTACGAGAAGCTTTAATAGATCCTCTTCTTCAAGAGAAGAATTGAGAGTCACAGTTGGTTAGCATGTCATGAAATCAATTTATTGGACTATAATCAACAATTTGAAATGTAATGCAATGAAAGGAAATGAAAAACAATAGATGAGAGTGCACTATAATCTAGATCACAATATAAAACATATACTTACTTGTGATTCATAATAAAAAAATGTTTTAAATCTATGCAGTTTCCTAACCTACTACTTAACCTTTAAGCAGTTTCCTTAAATGCAAAATCCACTGCATCTACCAATCCAAGTGCCTCTAAATGAAAATATAATATAAAAATGCTTTGGAAATGATGATGATGATGACAGAAATGTTTGTTAGCTAATCTTCAATTTTGTACAGATCTTCAACATAAGAATGGCCCTAGTGCCAGCCACACCCCACACCTATGCTCTACTAAGAAACTACTGATATGCTGAGGAGTGTGGACAGGGTGGGCTGATCTGGTGACACCTGTATGCTGCAGAGAAGGGTTTATGTTTAAGGCAGACCCTGAAAATTATACAAACTGGGATACACATTTAGTTCTGCCATAAACTACACAATATTCCTGAGTTTCAGGATTTCATTATCATTATCCTCTGATGATATGTTCTGAATATATATTTTATATTCTGAATATATGGGAAGAAAAATTCCTTTCTCTCACTGGAGAAGGCCACTGAAGAGACAGAAATCCTGCCTGAACTGTGAGAGAAGGGGGAAGGAAGGAAAAAAAAAAAAAAAAGATGATGTCTAACCCAGCTCTGCGGTCATTAAAGCATGGCCCATGCAAGAGGCTAGTGAGACCTACTGGACTTTATCACCCAGACCTTGTGAGCGCAACCAACTCTAGCCACAAGTTTTAGAGGCGGATATCAATCTCCACTCACATTCATCTTGCTGTTTCCTATCTCACACATTTGGCCCAGTGGTACTTTGACTCAAGACTCAGTGATTGGAGTATCCTGAAGGCATCCAAAAACACACTTGCCCAGAATAGAAGACTCTGGTGTTCTTTCACAAATGCTGGACTAGAAATGGGAGAACTCAGCTCATATTCCAGTTCTTCCACTTTCTCATGTGACTTTCTACATCATTTCAGTTCTCTAATCTTACTCTCCTCCCTCAATAAATCAGAAAACCAAAAGTCAAAGTACAGTAAGTAAAAAATTTGGGAATATTTGCATTTCCCAAGAGATGATACTGTTAACTGGAGCAAAACAAATAATCAGTACAACATATTTTATAAATGTATTTAAGTAACAAAATAATACTATTCTTTTTCATGCTGATCTTTATTATTTATAAACAAAGCAACAAACTTCACTTTTCTGAAGTACTCTGACCAACTCAAATAATTTACTTAAACATTCCTCACCTATCACAATCTGGTTCTATTACAATTTTCACTCCATTTTCCATTGTTCCCCATACTCTATCACCTATGCTGCATTCAAACATGTTCATAACCTGTCTCGTTATGATATGTGGCGGCGGGATGAAAATGGATTACTCAGAGTCCATGTCCAGAACAATGGGACCCTAGAGGAACTACACCAAGAAAGCACAGCCCAGCTCCAAGGGCAGTCTCATATTTATTTAGAATCAGAAAATAAAAAGATCAAAGAAGGAAGCAGGTAAACGAGGGAGGCATAACCAGCTGTACCAGCCAAGGTAGAGAAATAAGGAGAAAGCCAAGGAAAGCCTCAGTGTTTATGCTACTCTAGCCATAACACCTCTTGCTGTTTCTGCACATGCTGTTTTCAGCATATATAGACCCTCACACCAGGACTTTTGCCCTGAGGGGTTCCCTATCTTAAACTTTCCCTGTTTCTCCACATGCTGTTTTCAGCATGTATGGATTCTCATACTAAGACTTTTGCCCTGGGAGGTTTCTTATCTCAAACTTTCCCTGTTTCTGCACATGCTGTTTTCAGCATGTATAGATCCTCATGCCAGGACTTTTGCCTGAGAGGTTTTCTATCAACTTTCCCTGTTTCTGCACACTGAGAGGCACAGAACAGCCAAAGCAAAGGATAATCAAGGCAAAGACGGGAGGGGCGGAGCAACATGGCGGCGAGGAGACGCTGCGAGTAAGATCTCCCATTAAAAAAAGTTAATAGGGAGGAAAAGCGGCAGGTCCCAGTGAGAACTGGGACACGGAAGATAAACGGGTGATGCCAGCGAACTGCCCGAAGAAGAAACTGGCCATAAAAGAGGACTAGAAGGGAGGGAAGCGCAGAACCCTGCTCCCCTCCCCCGCCCACAGAGGCGGCACTCTCCGACCGGCAGAGAGGAGGAAACAACAAACCAAAACGGCCCACAAGAACAAACGACGCAGCAAGCGGGACTGTGAGTGGAAAGGAACTATTGCAGCCACCACACCCCATGAACGGGAGCTGAGGCGAACCCTGCAGGATCCGCCGCGGCGGTGAGCGAACGGCTCCGGGCGCCATTAGAGAAGAACAAAGACCCCGGGAGACGCGCACACAGCCCGGGCTGCCGGTAAGCTGGCGCGGAGAGCGGTGCGCTTGGCGCGCTTGAAAAGCAAGTGCAGACCTGGATCGCGGCTGCCCAGGTCCCCGCGCCTGCGACCTAGGCTTGCGGGGAGACGACCTAGGCTTGCGGGGAGACGCGCGGAGGTCCTCACTGAGGTGACGGTCCCTCCCTGAGTGAGCAGGAACCAGGCGCCCAGGCACGGGAGCGGTGCAAAAGGCTCCATTCCCGCGCCACTGAACTGGGCTACAGCCCGCGTCCTGGAACTGAGGGCTTTGAACTGAGACCCGGGGCACGAAAATTCGGGGCGTGGTTTCTCCACGACGGTGGGGCACAAGGCAGACACAGCACCCCAAAGCTGTTGAGGTGTACCCTACCATTCCCGCTCTGTTCTCTGTCCCACGGGGTGGGGGGAGGCGAAAAACAGCCCCCCAAGGACAATAGGAGAGATCTCTGGCGCCACCTAGCGACCAGGAAAAAAAAAGTCACTAACACCCTATAAAACAGGACATTTCTTAAGACTGCTTGAAAAGGGCAGAAGGTTTCTGGAGGACCCAGTGGCCAGCGGGAAGTTATTCCACGCCAGGCCCCTTCCGACCAGCAGTCTGAGCCCACAGAGGGAGCAGGCACCCACGTCCGGGGCAGACCGGGTGCGCAGAAGAGTGTGCCTGAAACCGGAGGCGCAGGGACTGCATCCCGCTTCGCCATTTGAGAACAGGGACATTTCTTCAGTAAAAACTGCCTAAAACCAGCAGAAAGCTCCCCCAGAAGACAGAGATGGCTCCTGGAAGAGCCAGAGGGGAGCGGAGAAGTTCACCCAAGAATTCAGTCAGTCCGAGCAACACAGTGTCCCAACGCATACGACAAATTAGAAAACAGACAGTAGGGAGTAGAAGAACCACACGCAACCTAACAACTCCTCAGGAAAGAAGCACACCACAAAAAGAAAACCACTCCCCAGATTGCAACGACAGCAACTTGGAAGAACTTCTGAGCCTTCCAGAAAGAGAATTTAAATTGCCATGATTAAAAAAGTGATAGATCAGAAGAAGGAAATTGAGTCCCTAAAGAGGGAAGTAAGAGAAATGCAGGAGATCAAAGAATTAATGGAGGAACTAAAGAACTCTGGGAAAAGCAATGAAAGCAGAATAGATGAAATGGAAGAACGAATAAGTAATCTTGAAGACACAGAAATAAAAAGAACCAAAACAGAAAAGGAAAGAGAAGTACGAAGGAAAAAGAATGAAGAAAGACTTCGGGAACTATCTGACTCCATGAGGAAAGGAAATATAAGAGTTATAGGAATTCCAGAAGGAGAGGAGAGAGATGTAGGAACAGAGAAAATATTCATGGATATAATTGAAGAGAACTTCCCAAATGAGAAGAAGGAGCTGAAAATTGATATACAAGAAGCAAGAAGAACACCAAACTTCCACGACGAAAGGAAAAACACAGCAAGACACATAATAGTAAAGCTCCCAAGAATCCAGGACAAGGAAAAAATAATGAAGCTGACAAGAGGGAAGAAACAGATAACATTCAAAGGAAAACCAATCAGGCTGACATCAGACTTCTCTGAAGAAACACTACGGGCAAGGAGAGAGTGGAGGGACATAGTCAACAGACTCAAGAAAACAGATGCCAACCAAGAATACTCTATCCCGCAAAGCTCTCTTTCCTCCATGAAGAAAGAATATGGACCTTCCCAGACAAAGAGAAACTCCGGAATTTCATTGCGACTAAACCCCCACTCCAAAAAATACTACAAGGAATCCTAAAGCCAGAACCTCAGAGGGACGAATAACAACGAAAGAAGACCAAAAAAAAAAAAAAGTTATTAAAAGAATAAATAAATAAAATCAAAGGAAAGACAAACATAATGGCAAATACAGATGCTAACATATCAATATTAACTCTAAATGTAAATGGACTAAACTCTTCAATAAAAAGACACAGAGTTGCAGCCTGGATTAAGAAACAAAACCCAACCTTTTGCTGTCTCCAGGAAACACATTTAGCTACAAAAGATAAAAATAGGCTCAAAGTCAAAGGATGGAAAACAATCCTACAAGCAAATGGGCCAAAAAAGAAAGCAGGAACAGCTATACTTATATCAGATAAAACAGACTTCAAACTCAAAAAAATAAAAAGAGACCCCAATGGTCACTACATTATGATTAAGGGGACAATACTTCAAGA